CCTCCTATATTTATGAACGGTAATGTACTCGATGAGTCTCCTACCCTTAATCTTCTAGGATTAACTCTTACTTATGATCTTTCTTGGAAACCTTATATCAAATCCGTTGCAAAATTAGCATCTGCTAAATGCTTTCTCTTTATCGAGCTTTAACTCTGGATTCTATTCTCTATCTCTATAAATCTCAAATCCGACCTTGTATGGAATACTGTTGCCATATCTGGGGCGGATCTTTTAACGATGCCCTTTCTCTTTTAGACAAGGTGCAAAAGCGCATTGTAAACATAGTTGGACCTGCTCTTGCAGCCAACCTTCAACCTCTGTCACATCATCATAATGTTGCTTCTCTTTCTCTTTTCTACAAATACTATAATGGGCACTGCTCGAAAGAGCTAGCGTCTCTTGTGCCATCTACTAAAATTCATTCTTGTGTTACTCGTCATTCCATTAAGTTTCATCTTTTTTCTGTTACTGTTCCGAAGTGCTCCAAAAACTCTTATTTGTCTAGTTTTTTTCCTCGAACATCAGTTCTTTGGAATTCGCTTCCTTTATCTTGCTTTCCTGATTCATATAATTTGCAATCTTTTAAGTCGTCTGTCAATCGTTATCTTGCTCTACAATCTTCATCTTTTCTCTTCCAGTAACTTCCAACACTAATTAGTGGTTGTATGCAGCCTTGTTGGAAGCAAAGATAATTATAAAAAAAAAGAAGTAATGTTAAACTTAGCTAAGTTTATGTAAGCGCATATATAAATATAAATAAAGTATAAATAAGCTTAAATGTTTTAAAAGTATTTTTTTATTATGAAAAACAATTTTATTTAATGCTAATATATATATGTATATATATATATATATATATATATATATATATATATATATATATATATATATATATACATATATATATATGTAAATGTATATGTGTGTAAATATATATATGTATTATATATATATATATATATATATATATATATATATATATGTAAATGTATATGTGTGTAAATATATATATATATATATGTATATATATATATATATATATATATTATATATATATATATAATACATATATATATATTTATATATATATATATATATATATATATATATATATATATATATATATATATATATATATATATCTATATATATATACATATATATATATATATATATATATATATATATATATATATATATATATATATATATATATATATATATATATATATATATATATCAGGGTTGCCACCAAATTCCAATCAGGGAAAATCAGGGGAAAATTATTAATTTAGGAAAAAATCAACTTTTTAATTTTTCTGTAATGTTTTTAAAATTTTTCTAATAAAAATCTTCCTTTTTAAGGGTACCAGGGTTAATGTTTAACACTTTTAAAGAAATTAATCATATTGTGTATATATATATATATATATATATATATATATATATATATATATATATATATATATATATATATTGTGTTTACATTAATTTAATGTTTGCAATGTAATTCAAAGAAAAAATGGTTAATTGATCGTTTGTTTGAAAAATGGCTGATAATAGACAATAATGTCCAATTGGATCTAAATATTCAGTTTTAGAGAAGCAATCTAAATTGTGTTGAATCCAGATACTTTGACTCTAAATTTTTAGGTCACCCTACATCAAAGAATTTACTTAAAAGTATGACTCAACTAAGTATAGAAGGTACAAATGTGAACTGTTCCCTTCTTAATCTTCTTGAAATACAGCATGATCAACAAGAGCTACCTAAACTTCTTAACGTTGGAAGCTGTAACCTTCATCTAATACATGGTTTCAAATCGGGTTTTCAATCTGCTGAATGGAATATAAAGAAGTTAATGAAAGCATCATACAACCTTTTTTATGATTCTTCAGCTAAAAGAGCTGATTATGTAACTGTTAATAAATGTGAGAGTTTTCCTTATGCATTTTGCTCAACACGCTGGGTTGTAGACCAAAAAGTTGCACATAGACTTTGTTTAATTTGGGAGAATGTTAAAAAAAATAACCAAGTATTGGGAGACTCTTTCTAAAAGTAAGTAACCAAAATGAAAGAGCTATGACAAGTGTTTGGGTCAGAGTTGTTAACAAGGCCAGTTTAAGGCCAAAAGTTACAAGGGCAAGGCCAAGAGTTTATGGTTAAGGCCAAAACAATCAATGCCAAGACCAAAATTTTCAGGTCAAGGACTAATAACTCTGGTTCGGCGGAACAAAAGATAAGTTAATTCTGACTAAATTGAAGTTTTTTGGTTAAATTGCAAGTTTTTTGCAGAAAATCTTATTGAGATATCAAACCAATGCCCAAATGATTCCCTTTCTTTTTGAAGATTTGTTCTCAACTGTTAAAAGTTTAATGGGTTTAATTATAAAACAGATGTCCTTAGCATCGTTAATAGCAGGAAATTTCAATTATATGATTTTCCAAAAAAGGAAAACTTTCTGCTATTAAAATTAATGATAATAGGATTTGCTG